TGCAGGCTTTTCATGTATGTTACTGCTTGATTCTCTTTTGCCTTACGGCTAATCTTACAAGATTCAATTAATCATGTGTGACATTATGTCTGGATCTGTTGACCGAACTATGACACTTGGTAAGTCTAATTACTTGAATTTCATATCTCAGAACTTTCCTTTGCATCCTTTGTGGTTCTTTGTCTGTATTTACTTATATTCTTTGCATGCACTATGAAATCTTTATCTATTCTATATGGTTACATTCGTACTAGCTAGAATTGGAATGTTATGCCATATCAATTTTGCATGCTTTTTAACATATGATGATGAGAAAAGTGGAAAATAGAGGAAACTGAAATCAGTTTATCATCACAAACAAGCATTTTGTTGTACGATAACAAACAAAAAGCAGTTATAAATCCAGATGTTATGCTATTGGAAAACAGATGATTTATATTTTCCTTGGTTATTAATTAAAACATCAGCATCAGGATGAGATGTTAAACGTGTGAATATCTTAATTTCTGTCATCTGATTCAAACTTCTTTGAGTAAATTGTTTTCTTCATGCAAGCACAGGTCATGAAATTGAAAATTCCGAGGATGAGAAGAAGAAAAGGCTTGGGTCGCTAAAGAAGGCTGCAATCAATGCCTCAACTAAGTTCAGGCATTCCTTTACCAAGAAGGGGCGAAAACACAGCAGAGTTATGTCTCTTTCTATTGCGGATGAAATTGATGCTGAAGAGTTACATGCAATTGATGCTTTTCGCCAAGCACTGATCTTGGAAGAGCTATTACCCTCAAAATATGATGATCATCATATGATGCTAAGGTAACCCTTTTAACATAGTCTTTTGTTCACTATTTATTTATAGTTGTAGCATGAGTAACTCCGTTTAACATCTTAATTGATGATCTCTCAGATTCTTGAGAGCAAGGAAGTTTGACCTTGAGAAAACAAAACAAATGTGGGCAGATATGCTTAAGTGGAGGACAGAATTTGGTGCTGATACTATCATGGAGGTAATCATGTGGAAAAGATAAGAATCACCATTTATATATTTTGTGGTGTTCTTCATCTAATTATAAATTTTGTGTTGTTTAGGATTTTGAATTCAAGGAAATTGATGAAGTTCTAAAATACTACCCACAAGGGCATCATGGAGTTGATAAGGATGGACGACCTCTTTACATTGAAAGATTGGGTCAGGTTGACTCTAACAAGCTTATGCAAGTAACAACTATGGAACGTTATCTCAAGTACCATGTTAGAGAGTTTGAGAGGACCTTTGTTGTTAAGATGCCTGCTTGTTCAATCGCAGCAAAGAAGCACATTGACCAAAGCACAACTATTTTGGATGTGCAAGGAGTGGTGCGTATAAAATTCTAACCCTTTATTTTAGTTCTTCAATCTCTTTTGCCCAATGAGAAACCAATAAGAGGAAAGAAATATTGTAACACATTAGATGATAGTCACTATAGATTTAAAGAGGCAATGTCCAATTCCAATTATACTAGTGGATATCATATCAATTGTTATAAATGTTTTTCATATTGAAAGAAGTTTCACACAATTGCTGACTAGCATGCTTGGTCAGGGTCTTAAAAGTATGAACAAAGCTGCAAGGGATCTCCTCCAGCGGCTTCAGAAGATAGATGGTGACAACTATCCTGAGGTACTTGTTAATCTACTTAGGCATGGCAATAGTTTAAATTGTCTTCTAAATTTACCCTAACTGAGTTTTCCTTTGCATGCAGAGCCTGAATCGTATGTTCATCATCAATGCTGGTTCTGGATTTAGGCTCTTGTGGAATACCGTTAAGTCATTCCTTGATCCCAAGACCACCTCAAAAATCCATGTAAGCATTTTTAGTCTACTTATCAATTTGAACCAAGGAGGATTTTCAGTTAAGTAGGGGGCAATAAACATATTAATGTTTTGTTCACCAGGTCCTAGGTAACAAATACCAGAGCAAGTTGCTTGAGATCATTGATGCCAGGTTAAATTTATCTCCTTCTTCATTGAAGTATTTTTTTTTCTCTTCATGACCAAATTAAATTCATTGATTTATAATTATGTTGTTCCATCATGGCACTGACATTACTCCTTAAGACTATAAATAACACTAAGTCTACGGTATTTAACAGTGAACTTCCAGAGTTCTTGGGCGGTACTTGTACTTGTGCAGATAAAGGTGGTTGTATGTTTTCCGACAAGGGACCATGGAATGACCCAGACATCTTGAAGGTAGTTTATTTCTGAAATATCAATTTTCTTTAGTAATATAATATAGCAAATGAAAACAATAAAGTATTTCCTCTGGATGAATTAGATGGTTCAAAATGGCGAGGGAAAATGCAAGGGAAAAACCTTATCCGGCATTGAGGAGAAAACAATCACAGAAGATGAAACATCACTTCAAAAGGCAGTGAGTTTCCTAAATTGTTAGCAATTTCAGAGAGCAAAGCTTTGTCCTGAAACTTTTCTCTGTATTTATTTGACAGAATATTTGATTAATATTTTTTTTTCTTTTTTTGCCTATAACATTAAGGGATACAAAAAATCATTTCCAGAGACACATGATGTGCAATGTTTGTCTCCAAAAGTAAGTTTCCTAGGCTTCAATCAGTTGTTGTTCCCGTCCTATATATTATTTCTTTCAAAAAATAGTTTTGAGGAAACTGCCTAGTTTATCTAGTCATGTTGTTCGTTGTGTCTGTAAACTTGAGGTCATATTAATTTCTCCCGTTTTCTACTTCTGTTTCTGAGATCATATATATTGCAGGTCGAAAAGCAATGTAATGTGTATCAGTATGATGCCTTTGTCCCAGTGATTGACAAGCCAGTCGATTCATCTTGGAAGAAATCAGTAAATGATAAATATGCACTTTCTCAAGGTATTAGGTACTTCTATTTGATTGTTCTTTCATCTTATGATTAACATATATTACATGGTAAGTAGTAAAACACCGCTCATAACAATTTGAACAACATAATCCGCATTTTTGCTCATTGACAAGGAAGAAACATATCACAATATGGTTTTGTTAAAATTCTAAATTTATTTTCCTTGCAAGCAGATTGTTTCCCTGCCCATAATAGCAAGAATTTTGATGGGTTTAACAATCAATTTGTTGGTGGAATCATGGCCTTAGTAATGGGAATTGTAACCATGATCCGTATGACAAGTAACTTGCCAAGGAAAATAACTGAAGCAGCACTCTATAGCAGCCCAGTATATTATGATGAGACTATGATGAAAGCGCCTGCAATTTCAAGCAATGAATACATGACAATGATGAAGCGCATGGCTGAACTAGAAGAGAAAATGACTGTTCTCAGCATGAGACCTGTCATGCCACCCGAAAAGGAGGAAATGCTAAATGATGCTCTAAACAGGGTCAGTACTCTCGAACAAGAGTTGGCTGCAACCAAAAAGGTATTACTGTTTTTCCTTGATACTTGAATCAATGCCATCATTATTTGGGGAATAAAATAAAAGATGATAAAACATCTTCCACTAGATAACTACGTGTGCGCTAACATTTTTGGAATTTAATTTGCTTCCTATTTGGGGTTTAGGCACTTGATGATGCCCTTGCTAGACAAGTAGAACTTCAAGCTCAAATTGATGAGAAGAAGAAGAAGAAGAAAAAGTTGGTATGTCATACCTGCCATGCATTCCTATAAAAAATTTCTATAGACTATCGAGTGCTTTTGTTCACACACATTTTTGGGTTTGTGATTACAGTTCCGCTTCCACTGGTAAGCTGATAGGTGTGCTTTGCTATGTGACCTCAAATATTTAACATCCGCGCGACACAATCCCTCAAGCATCTGAGACAGTTTGTGGGAAGGATACTCAGTTTGTCTATTCATAATGATTGACTCCCCAATAATATACTTTTCTATTTATTTTTTGGAACGGTACTAAACCCCATGTTTTTGGTGGCTTTCTATACCCTCGAATGCCTATTGCATTTGGCTATTTGGTTTATTCAATATTCCGTTAAAAACTTCCGTACAATATAAAGTTTGTCATTCCTTGACACTTGTGTATATGTTGCATGAAATTAGGCACGATTTACCTTTTATTTTTAAAAAATAATAATAAGATTAGATTGCTTTGCAAATTAATGGTCCCAAAAGCCATCGAAAGTAACACTAATTTTGCATTATTATTGAAACCCGTCTGGTTCTATGAACTTGAAAAAACAGATATTTTTAGAAGTACCTTGTGCATTCATATAGTTATGAATTACGCTCTCCCTCTTTCACTTCAATAAGTATTCTGAGTAAAAGTCCCACCAATCGAATACTAAAACCTTATTTTCTTCCCTTAAATCTACCTTTGATAAGAAGGAAGACTTCATACAAACCATCTTGTCAAAACTTCCTACCAAAACATTTTACCAACTGAATGTGCTCTTAACATATCTCAAAGGAATCCAATCAGGCTGAAAGCCGTCTTGTACCTGTCATCGCAGTCATTTTGGAAACACTAGTGAAATGCTTGCACCTTTGCATGAATCGATTCTACCAAAGATATTTCTTTCGTCCCACCCGGTAAATAAATTCGATTACGATATAGCTTTTAACAGTAATTACTATAAACTAGGCAGCCGAATGATAAAGCAATATTTTACTTTTTTTAGAAAGCATATCTACAAAACCAGAGGACAAGGCCAGCAGACAATCCTAATCAGGCACGTGCATTACTGATATAATACTCGATGCACCTGATGAAAGATCAGATGAACAAAACCTTTTCAACCAACAAAGGCAACCAAAACCAAACACACCGATAACCGAAGCTAACCACAACAAAGATTGGGTTTTACAAGCCAGTAAAGATGCCATTCTGGATATACACATTAGAAACAATTCTCCATTAAGTTTACTCATAGTACACTGAAAATCAGCGGTTAAGAGTTACATCATGTGCAAGGTCAACACTCCATAGAAATAAGTGTGCTTTGAGAAATATCCTCCTCCGTAGAGTCTCTTTCTATCGAAATAAATCTCACCAGCAAAACTTCTTTTTCTGATTCAAACAGAGCAAAATGTGAAGCAAACAGAATCATCAGAAATCTGGAAAATGTCCATTTAAGGTTTTAACTGTGTTCGAAAAATACACGTGCAAACTTACCCGTAACTTGGCTTCTTCATGCCTATCAATGTAAGCAAGCAGCTCTTCTTGCCTCATTAACGCATCATGGAGAGCCTATGCACAATCAAGCAAATCCAAATATTAGGGCCCAACTCAGGTAAGTAATCAAAGAGACACTGTATTCTTTACATCTCAACACTATATTGTGCATTTCCAAAATGCACAAACAAATCTCAGTTCCATGCAGATTGTAATTTTTTGTAACATTGAACACGACGTGCAATCAGATATGAAGCAATGACATGTTTTTAGTTTTCAATTTAAAGATAATAAGAAGAATAAGAGGAAAAAGAAGAAATAGAAATATCGCATTGCTTTAGGCATGTACATGTACTCCATAAATATAAAGTGCATTGCCATGACAACATTTTCTTCGAAAGTGGTAAAAACAAAAAATATAGCATCCCACCTTTTTAGTAGCAATTAACTCTGCTTCCAAAGCATCAACCCGGCAGACAGCAGCATTCAACAATTCTTCTTTTTCATAAGGCATCTCAGATGGCTTAGATTGGAGTGTGTCAACCTTCTCTTCAAGCTCACCTAACCTTTTCAGCATGGAGGGAAGGAGATTTTCCTCTGTACATGCTGGAGTTGATGGAGTTGATGACAGATCACAAACCTCCGTGTTGGTTGTATCAAGAGTTGGTTCTGAAGTACTCTGATCATCATTAGATGATAATGCAGGAAGTTTCTTGGTCACATGGCATCCAACTTGACGGAAAAGAGTAACAAAGGTCAAGAAGAAGGCAGTCAGCGCTATCCAAATCCGAGCTTGAATCCCTTCTGGAGTTTTCTGAGTAGTGTCGAGAAGAGAAGGTGCTCCTGTATTGGAAATTTCAATTTAATGTTGCTAGAGAAAATTACATTAGATAATTCAAATCAATAAATGAAGTAACATTATCAAGCACCAACTGTCCTAAAAGCTTAAACTCTTAAATATAGGCACAGTAATGATTTAGACCTCCAACAGGCACCCTCACGCAAAAGCCTTCTGATTCTGAGATTTAAGTGCAGACAAAGTCTAGATACAATGTTAAGGATCCATAACTGTCGATCCTAGATAGCAGCACAGAGACCCCAAAAACACTATAGCAGGATGGCCGCTATCCTGAAGATTATGCATACAAGATAAATAATTTATATTGCAAATATATAATGCTCCAAAAAAACCCAAAATTACCCAATTCTTAGTGACAGTCTAGACACACAATCACCATAAACCTAAGGCATAAATAACAAGTTGATTACAACAAAAGTAAAGGAGCATAAGGAAAAAAATACAGCACCAAATCCTAAATAAGTTTAAGCCACTAAGGTGTCAAAAAACTGAGGGATAAGGCCATGGGGTGTGAAGTGCAAACTACACAACACAGGTTAAAAAATAACAGACCAGAGTAGATCTCGAAAAGCACAATGCACAGACCAGCGAAAAACTTGAGAACAGAAGTGAGATGAGACAGGAGTTGCTCTGCAAAGAGCATGGATTGTCAGTGGGTTGCCAGAAAACGATGGAAGACAGGGGAAAATGGTGAGGCTCAAACCATAGTGGGAGGCACGACGGAAAACAACACTTGCTGGAAAAAGACAGACGGCTTGGCCCAAAAAAAATGGTGAAACTCGAACCAGAGAAGGCACAACGAAAATTGGGCCGGGGATTTGGGGGGGGGGCACGAAATTCACAAAATCACCAGTAGCAGTTGTGACACCGTAATTTGGGCCTGTGATGGCCGTTCCATCAGAACACAATGCAATGCTATACGATCTCAAGGAGGGCATGCAACGCGTAGAGCATCGCAGGGTGCAAAATCTTGTTATTGACTACCCTGCCAGAATCAACTCTCCCAAAATTCAAAATCTAAAAAATTGGTTTTTAAAAATAAGGTGTGGATTACTACTTATGGAAGTAGCTGACAGTATACTGATACGACTCCATCATGTATTATGGGAAGAGGTATAGGGGATCTCTTGCCCCACAGCCTGCTAAGTCAACAAGGGTGAATAATTCCTTTTCTGTTAGAGAGGGGAAATTGGTTAGGATTTGGTTAGAATTAGAAGGGAATGAGGGAAGCACCACACTTGCTGCATAAATAGGTAAACCATCAATAGGCAGAGTCATTTTTTCAGGATTGAGACATGGATTAGGCTTGGGAGAGACCAGTAACATCTCCTCATTGCTCTGCACTACGTGCTTCTCTTAGTTTTCTCTCATTTCCTTTTCTAGGATTACTGTAGTTTTCCTTTCCTTTGAGACATCATGTACTTAAATCATTGGGCCTGATTTGGATTCCACCTTATCAATACCATTTCAGTTCTTTCTTTTCTGTTCTGGGTTTCTGGTACCTATCATATATAATTTCTCCCATGAAGCACAAGCTTGGTTAAATTTTATTGTGAAATTTTAAATGTAAATGTATGCAAAACTAACAAGAGCATTAACAGAGATGCAGTCCACATCTTCATTAAACCCTATCAGAATATCATATTGTTAGAAGCATTTGTGCAATTAGGTGAATTTCCAGTGAATAAGCAAAATGAGAAGATTCATCAAAAGGGTACATCAATAAATACTACGCCAAGAACTCGTTTGGGGCCTTGGAGCCAAGCAGATTCAAGTGGAATGTGACTCAACATCAGCCACCAATATACTGCAAAACATCGAGAATGACCCTAGAGACTCTAGATTAATCACCAGGATTAAGGAATGGCTAAGAGCAGATTGGACAATTGTTGCTACTCACACTAGCCTGGACAACAACAGATGTGCTCATTGGCAAGCAAGACATGCGTCTCTTGGAGAATATGGACTTAGAGTCTTTCATGAGCCTCCTTCGGACCTCTGTAGCTTACTCCTGGATGACATCCGTCCTATGACTAATAGTCCTAATTTAATTTCAAGAACTTGGGGCCTTAGGCCCTTTCATGTATCAAAAAAATAAATAAATAAATAAATACTAGGCCAAAGTCGCTAACCTTTTGAAGTATAAGACCTCTGTAGAGATGCTTGCTTCTTCCAGCTAACATCAACAGGTTTGTCCACCATTGGAACGTATTCATCATACCCAATCAAGTTACTGGTATAGGTTGACTTTCCAACCATCTTAGCCTGACAAAGAACACAACGTAAACAACTTTTGTATTTGGGACAGAACAAAGCAAATCCTATGAACAGGTTTCTTGACAATTTATTTAGATCATCCTCACGGTATCTGCAAATATTGTGGACTAATTATTGTACATTTAAATGAATAAACAATATAACAGGTGGAAGAATTGTCAAAGAAAACTTTATTGCCGTTCAATTTATGCAAGGCGGAAGAGGGTGCACACAAGAAGACATCCAAGATAATCAATAGCAACTTCTATAATATGTCAACACTCACTTCCTCGCGAACAGGGGTCAACCTAAGGTGTGAATAACTCTTCATCGCTTTTGGAGAAGCGATATCTTCAGCTTCTGACCCTGATTCAGCAGTGGATGTATCACTGCCTTTAACCTGTTAGGTAGTAGTAACAAAAATAAAAAATGAGTTGAAGAAAAGGTATGAAGGCATCAAATTTTGGCTCCACTCAAGTAAGGCAATAGTCAGCCATGCAAAGAATTACCGTTGGGTACCGTGGCTTGGCATATGCAATAACCTTCCCTTCACTATTAAGAACTTTTACTACTTGCCTTGCCTGCCGTGCTTCACCATTGAGAACCATCTGCAAAAGTCCAAATGCAATCAACTTCGAGTCTATTACAGGTTAGACAGATATAGTATAACATCTGTCAAACCTATCCAAAAATCAACCAAGAACAGTATATAACCTTCAATATTTCAGGGTTTTTCCAGGGCCCTTTATCGGATCTAAGGCAACCTCCTTGATCTGCACAAGTGCAGGTACCTCCCAGAAATTCTGGCAACTCACTTCATTAAGTTCAGAATATATTAGGCATTTTAAAGGATAATGCAAATTGCAGTGATGCTAGAAAATATGATGCATTGTTCAACGGAAAAGAAAAACATAAATACAAAAATTCTCATATGCAGAGTGATATTAACATGTAAAAAATGGAGCCATTAAGTACCTTGCATCAATTATTTCAAGCAATTTGCTTTGATACTTGTTTCCAAGAACCTAAGTAATGTTTCCAAAAAAGCATCAAGCAATGTCAGCAGCCTTATACCATTAGTAAACACTAAACAGAGCTTTAAACAGCTAAAAAACAGCATTTTTCACATACGTGAATTTTTGAAGTTGTCTTGGGATCAAGAAAAGACTTGACAGTGTTCCACAACAGCCTAAATCCAGGGCCAGCATTTATAATAAACATTTGGCAGAGTGTCTGTATTACTAATAAAAGAATAATTAATCACTGTAACAATAGTATATCATCTTTCAGATTTCCAGCAACTGATGACATTAAAATTCAAAAAAAAAAATAATAGAAAATGAGATATTGCACCTCAGGGTAATTGTCACCATCAATCTTCTGCAATCGCGTAATGAGTTCCCGGGCAGACTTTGTAAAGTTCTTAAGGCCCTGATAATTGACATTATATCAGAAATAAATGATTTGTATGTTATAGAATTTTAGTTTACAGTCAATGCAAAGAGGAATAATTACAGGTAACATACCACTCCTTGAACATCTAAAATTGTGGTGCTTGAATCAATGTGCCTCTTCGCAGCAATAGTGCAAGCAGGAAACTTTATTGCAAAAGTTTTCTCAAACTCTTGCACATGGTACTTTACATATCTATCCATAGTTGTAACTTGCATGAGTTTGTTTGGATCAACTTTTCCAAGTCTTTCAATATAAACAGGTCTTCCCTCCTTATCGACACCATGGTGACCATGTGGATAATACCTCATAACTTCATTTAACTCTTTGAACTCAAAATCCTGATTAAAACACGAAAAATTAGGTAAGGCAATCAATCACTATAAAAGTACAACTTGTCCCTTGTAATTAAACCTGCAGAAGCAGAAGCCAGACAAATGCCCCAAATTATATTTGCAATTACCTGCATGATAGTGTCAGTACCAAACTCCTTCCTCCATTGTAGCATGTCATCCCACATATGCTTTGCTTTTTCAATATCAAATTTCCTTGCTTTCAGAAATCTGTAAAACGATGAAGTTGAGAAAATACAAGTGTATAAGATCATCTGTCCAAGATCACACAGGTAATTTAACACCAAACGAGTAATTTTTTCCCCCAAGAACTTTAGCATGTGCATGCAGATCTACATAATTGCTATCAGAATTTGGCTGCGAAGGATAAATTTGTAAGTGAAAGAAAAGGGACAGGAAAGCACCTTAACATCATATGGTAATCATCATATGCTGCTGGAAGCAATTCGTCCATAATCAACGATTGGCGAAATGCATCCACAGCCTGCAGCTCTTCAACATCCCGAACATCCTCAATAGAAACGGAGCTTACACGGCCATCACTTTTTCTCCTGGGACCCTTCTTTCTAAGAGAATGCTTGAATTTCGTGGATGCATTAATTGCTTTCTTTTTTAGGGATCCAATTCTTGTCCTCCTTTCATCCTCAGAGTTGTCAAAATCAGATCTCCTCTCCCTCTTCTCATCACTGCCCGAGAACCCCTCAAAGCCTGGCAAAATCGACATTTCCAGCATCAAGAATAAAAAAAAAGCGTAAAGAAATCAGAAATGGGAGTAGGAAAACTTGCACACTTGGGTTTGCTTAGTTATGTTTTGCAAAATCAAAAGAAAAGAGGGAAATAATGCTCACAAGGTCTGGCGAAACGATCGAGGGGACCAGACATTGCAGTTGGTAGGAGATTATAGGTCCAACTATCAATTGCGATTCTTGAGACACAAACACATTAACGATTCAGAAACCCTAAGAATTGCAGCTTCGATTCGATTCGAAGGAACTTCGTGAGTGTGTACAAAACTTGATCCTGATTCTTGTTCCAAAGAGTACACTGTTACTGGTTGGAATAATAAAATAAAATAAAATAAATATGAATAAATAATCGGCGGATAACGTCGGCGACAGCTAGAGAAAGAAAGAGAGAGCGCGTGCGTGCGTGCCTTTCTTTGTTTTCGTTATTGTTATTGCAGCTGGAGAGGGTAGAGAAGTGTGGGTCCCGATTTTGTTCAGCATCGCAGACACGTGGCATCAGAAGGTTCAGGGAATGAGCCAATAGCGAAAGGAATGATTTGTACTTCTTGTACCTTTGTTCGTTCCCGGAGAGGCATTTTGTCAAACACACTACCTTTTAACAAAACTCATATTTTTTAGAATTTTTGGAAAATTAAATATTTTTAAATTTTGTATTTTTAGATATTATCGCAAACTGAATGTTTTTATCATATTATTAAAAATCGTAATTTCTGGATAAAAAAATATTTTTCCTCTACCAAACACTTTCTTAAAGTAAGAAAGAGAAATAAAACAAAGGGGAAAAAATAACAAAAAAATGGTTATAATTTCATTTTTATTTTTATATTGGAAAATTATACTTCCATATTATTTGTCATGTTACATTTATAAAAAAACAAATGTGTTTCTCTTTTTAAAAGATATTAATAATAGATCCCATTTTATTTATCTCAGAATATAAAATAATTTTTCTTTTATTATGTTAGAGAAATAAAGACCTTTTATATTTTATTTAAATTAAAAGTTAAATACAATACAAGGAATACTTGATAGTTTTAAATTAATTCATAAGGCGTTGTATTTAACTAAAAAGTTTTTTTTTTTACACTTATCTTTCTTTCCTAATTTAGGTGTGTTGAAATATTCAAGTATGATAAGTTTCACATTGATTGCTAATGGACTAAGTTAAGTAAATATAAATCGGAGGATCCATAAATTCAATGTCTTAAGATTTTGAGTTATAACATAATGTCGGATCCACTTACCATTATTGATATAGCATTAGCCTATTGGTGATAGTCTCCATCACGGGCTCTCATTGACCCTACTTAGCAATAATATTAAAGCTTGATTGGGCTCGAGCTACCCAATTCTAGGAGATAGGATGAGTACTTAGGCCCTAGAGTAGTCAGTTAAGAAGAAACATATTAATATAGGGTTTCATATTTAAGGAGAAATTTATTTGGTTATCCAAAATTTTGAGTTGAGATATGGTGTCGTGTGATCCCCTACCATAAACTTGGCATGTGGAAAAAGACCTTGTCATGTTACTAATTATATATATGAAGTATATTAAGTGAGACAGTAAGATTTGAGTTAATTTTGACTATTCATATAACTTTAAATGTTTAGAGTTAATTCCTAAAATTTATCCGTTTTCCTGGTCTCTTCTTTTATTTTTCAAAGTTGAGTCATTTTCCATAAAGAATAAAAAATCCTCAAAATACGACAAACACATTCAATCTCTCTTCGTCATGAAAATACAACTTTAAGCCAAGTGCCAAGCAAGTTGGACTATTTTTTTCTTAACCTTTTTAATTTATTATGAAGACAGCGCTAAGTTCATATTGGTTGGGTTATGGGTATATGCATGCCTCAACTGTCTTGAAATTAAGCACACCGGCTTTTTGACCCTTATGCCCCTTAATTAATAATTAATTACCAAATTGCCCCTCATTCAAAACTATTTCGAAAATTTACCCTCCCCAACAAACATAACACCAATCTGCCCCTGTTTGACCGTTGACCACGAAGCCTACCCGGGTACACCATTATCTACCCGGGTAAATTTTGAAACTTTTTATCTACCCGAGTATGTAGGGATGTACCCGGGTAGAGTTCTTGAATCTGGGAAAATGTATGAATTATTTACCCGGGTACGTAGAAGTGTACCCGGGTAAATCGCGACGGTAGGGTTTTAAAATACCCCAGCAGCCCCATTCGAAAACCCACAAAAGGGGTACCCGAGTAGAGCTGCTGGAGGAGTGTCATCTTGAGCGATTTGAGGCATAATCTTGCACTAATTCGTCTTGTTTGTGATCATCATTCGCGGACCTTGCAACCTCTTTGCCTTCTACCGATTGAAATCGATCAAAGGTGCATTTTTTTTTTCAGTTTTTTCAATTATGTTATGATTTCTGTTCTGATTCATTGTTTTCGTTTATATCATTTGATTCTGTCCGAATTATTTTATCAATTTGTATGTCATACGCTTACCCTAACCCTGAATCTAACCCTAACCCTAACCCTAACCCTAACCCTAACCCTAACCCTAACATGTATCTAATTTCTGATTTTGGTTATTTTTTCAGTTTAATAGTGTGACACAATGACCTCTCGACGCGTTTCAAAGCTGCCAGTGACCCATTCCGAGAGAAGAACCAAGAGTCGTCACGATGGGTCGTCATCCTCTCAGCCCCAGGCTGCTTCGAGTCAGGCTCCGGACTTGACGTTCGGATATTTGTTTGAGGATGACATTCCTTCACACGAGAAGTTCGTGAAGTTTTTCATGACCCGGAAGATCTGCGAACCGAAATCACTGGATTCGGCATTCTTCAACCTAGAGCGTTTTGACATCGTGCCGCTTCTTGAGCAGACACATTTACTTCACCTGGCGGAGATGCGGTGCCCATACTCGGAGGTTATGGTAAGAGCCTTCTACCAGAACCTTGGCTACTCGCAAGGCGAGCTGACTTCCCGTGTATGCGGGATTGATATCATCATGACTGCTCCTATCTGGACGGAGCTACTGGGGTTCGATTTTGATGGTGTCTCAGGAGCAGCACTATATGATGGAGACAGCCATCATATATTTGGTGATTATAACCGGGAGACCATTGTTACAGAGACTAGGAGGGCAGACGCTGAGCCCGGTCATTTTGCTCATTATCCTGTTAGCAACTTGTCAGTTTCTGCTCGCATTCTTCATTATGTGGTGACACATATTATTTTCCAGCGCCCGCATAATCACTCAAAGGTGCTGGAAGGGGACTTTGTCATCCTGTGGGCCCTCCTTCACAGTCAGCAGGTGAACTGGAGGCATTACATATGCATACTGATGTGGAAGGCAGCCAAGTCAAAGAAGGCTGAATTGCCTTTTGCATTTCTGGTGCAGAAGATTCTGCATAGATTTGGAGTGCCTATGGCAACAGAGACCTTGAAGACCGCCAGAGGCTGGAATGCTATATTTGGTGAGAGGCTCCTGAAGCAGTGTGGGATCCTACCGAACAGAGCGGGTATCTGGACGTGGAAGAAGGCACCAGAACCACCTGAGATCCCATTCCACCACGATGCTGAGATGGAGGATGCACCTGCAGGTGATGTGTTGGTCTTTATGAGTTTATGCAATTATGTGTTGTTTAATTTTTAATGTGGTATTGAAGTTTGTTTTTCATGGTTTATGATGTAGGCCTTGATGATGATGACGATGATGATGGCGTTGCTGAGGTTGATGTCAGACCGACACGTCCCACCCGCAGTCGGCGACCACCAGCTCCTCCTGAGGGTGGATGGACACTTGATCATGTCATGGCATCCTTATATGATCTGACTACTGACTTTAGAGGATATAGACAGAGCACGAGCAAGTGGCGAAACCAGATGGACACAAGGGTTGCACGGTTGGACACAAGGGTTTCACGCTTGGAGGGTTTAATTGGCGAGGGTGCCCATACTCAGGAGGAGGAGGAGGAGGAGGATGATGACAATGGGGATGACACACAATCGGATGAAGAGAATGGGGAGGACACGGCATCGGATTAGTGTGTCCATAGGGTTTCATATCATTGATTTAGTTTGATGTAATGTAGTCATTTTGGTACATTTAGGAACTTTACCTACATTGCATGGATGTTTTTGTACTGGATGTTCAAAATTTGAATGAATGAAATTTTCGTTTTGCGCACGTTCAGACTTGTTGGTTCTATGCATTAGTATGGGACCTTGCATTAATATTGTCATAATTAATTTGGAAATCAATTCAACCCAAAGTAGTTTATTATTCATTTTCAACTTTGATTGGCGCACATCTTGATTACTGCATCCTATTTCTACGAAATCAATCCACCCCCAAGTCATACCGTATGTAGGTATTGCACAACAATTACCAAAATGCAACAAAAATTGCCAAAACAGCATCTGCAACAGCATCTGCAACTGGTCTACCCGGGTACCACGAATAGTCTACCCGGGTAAGATGTACTCGGGTATATCATTACGAGTTACCCGGGTAGACCTTCTGACCCCATTTTTTGAAGAATTCTCTCCTTCAGTTCATTGCATGTAGTGCCCACTTTGATTTTCATCGTTTTTGTTTTTCCTTCAAATCGGACACCGTTCGGACCTTCAAAATGCCTCCCATTGTAGTAAACAACTATAGGAACCATGTTTGGACTTGAACTCATCTTTCACACAAAAATTAGATCTAGGTTTTGGGTTTGGAGGTTGGTTCGGATTTTTTAGCACAAAATGGGAGTGTGGAGATGTAATCTCAATGTCCCACCAAGATTCAGCTTTCTGAAATGATGAGATGAAATATGTGTGATGTTTCGGATTAGAGAGGGTAAGAGAGAAAGATTTTGGGGTTTCAAAAACCCTATACCTCGCAACAATGGCCGAAACCCATACATATTGGGGTTTCTGGACGCGATTTACCCGGGTACACTGCTCTGTACCCGGGTAAATAATTCAAACATTTTCCCAGATTCAAGAACTCTACCCGGGTACACCCCTACATACTCGGGTAGATAAAAAGTTTCAAAATTTACCCGGGTAGGTAATGGTGTACCCGGGTAGGCTTCGTGGTCAACGGTCAAACAGGGGCAGATTGGTGTTATGTTTGTTGGGGAGGGTAAATTTTCGAAATAGTTTTGAATGAGGGGCAATTTGGTAATTAATTATTAATTAAGGGGCATAAGGGTCAAAAAGCCTAACCACACCCTTTATATTGTCCCACTCTATCCACCCTCACCAACCCCGTGCCTTGGATAATGGCAATTTCATGCCAGCATAATACGATTGCACTTATATTTAATTCTTCATGTCCATGATTATAGATTACCTTTCCACCACCCGCGATCAAACGTATAAACCATAATAATCTATGCAGAAACT